AAAAAAAAAAAAACTGAAATTACTGTCTCTCTGTTCTGGAGGCCAGAAGTCTGAAATCAAGTTGTCAGCAGGCTCACGCTCCTTCTGGAGCCTGTAGGAGGATCGTTTCTTGCCTCTTCCCAGCTTCTGGTGGTTTGCTGGCAGTCTTTGGTTGTCCTCAGCTTGCAGCTGCATCACTCCCATCTCTGCCTCAATCTCTACATGGCCTTCTCCCTGTATGCCTGTGTCTTCACATGGTCATCCTCACATGACACTAGTCATATTGAATTAGGGGACCATCCTACTCTAGTACAACCTTTTCTTAACTAATTACATCTGCAACTACCTTGTTTCCAAACAAGGTCACATTCTGATGTACTGGGGGTTAGAACTTGGACATATTTTTTTTTGCGGGGTGGGGGGATACAATTCAACCCATAACACAGACCCTGGGCCATATTGGGAACCCAGAGCCCTTAGTCTCGAACGGATGCGGGTTTCTCATGGACACCATCTCCAGAGGTCAGCAGCAGACTGGCAGAGGAAGGAGGCCAGGAAGTGCTGAGCTGAGGCCAGGACCACCTCCTTACTTCTACTAGGCCTTCTCGGTCCCTGAAGGTCACCAGCAAAGGCACCATCTCGAACAAGGGGGTCAGGCCCAGAGGCCATGGCAACCTATGTCCAAAGATACAGTCTTTCTTCCACTTCAGCCCAGAGGAGGTGAATTCAGCAGATGGAACTGTGCTAGGAGATTGTTTTCCAAAATGCAAAAGTTACAAACCTCCCCTTAGTCCCCAGGGCTGCCCTAGTTAGTTCCTGCCTGACCCCAGTTGCCAAATGCACATACACACACACACACACACACACACACACACGCACACACACAGGCACACACACAGGCACACAAAGAGGCTAATTTTTCTGAACCAGAGGCATCTGTTGATAAGGAACCCTTAAGGCCCTTTCACCCCAGGGTTGTATGCAAGATCCCAAGATAGTGTGGCGCTCTCCACTTCACTCTCCCCCTCCTCCAGCTGAAGCCAGGATGTGGGGTGAGGATGGGGCAGGTTCCCAGGATTCAGAGCCTGGGTTACAATGAGCTCATAGGCCTCCCTTGCGGTCATTCCCAGGTCAGTGAAGAGCAGCTTCTCACCCTGCATGGCCAAAGCCACTACTGAGGCCCAAGGGGAAGCATGACAGCCTCTGAATCCAGGAGCCCTGTGTCCACGCTCTGGGTACCCCAGGCCTTCTTGGACAAGGTCAACCTCAGAACAAACTTACCACTTCCCCCGTTCCCCCTCGGGACCTGGCCTGTGCTATGGGGAAATGGAAAGAGGATGGACTTGGGAGGAAGGCCTGGCCTCCACTCACTGCTCAACCAGCTTTGTGACCTTGGGTAAGTTACTGAACTCCTCGGATCATTAATTTACTCGACTATATAGTGGGAATAATAGCTTGTTCATAGGGCTGCCATGAGGATTAAATGGGGTCCATGATGTAAAGCACTGCACAGGAGGCCTGAGATACAGAGGCCCCCAGTTAATGTTCCATCCCACCTCTCCCAACACTACTCTGCCGTGTGGATTCCTTCCTGCCCCACCGAGCTCCTGGTGGGTCATCTGTAGTCTCACCAGCTCCCGCTAGCTAGCCATTTCCAAACCAAGCACACAAACAGATTTTAGTTTTAAAATAATTTTGTTCTTAGGCACTACAGAGAAATCTGAAAAAATACATAATGGAAAAGAATATATATATATACATATATATATATATATATATATATGTCTAACTGACATATATACATTCTGTACAGCAGAAATTCTGTACAGCAGAAATTAACACAACACTGTAAATCAACTATACTTCAATGAAATAAATTTTTAAAAAATTAAAAAACAGAGACTTCCCTGGTGGTCCAGTGGTTAAGACTCACGTTCCCAATGCAGGGGACCCA